GTAACTCAGGCTAAAAGGAGGGTGTAGATTATTATTAAATGGCTAAATAGGAGAAAGATTAAGAAGGACATTGAAAAGAAATATAGGAATTGGGACAGAATGCCTCAGAAATAAAAGCAAGGAAGCAGGGAAATATGGAACATACTGAGATAAAAATGCGAACAAGAAAAAACAGTATTTGGTGGTTGAATCTGAAGATGAATTTACTTTCTTTTGCATTTCTGTACTTTGTTAGTGGATATTTTCTGTGGCAAGGTTTGGTCTCTTAGCTGGAATTTCAGTATCTTCCATTGTAGATCTGTGTCCTGACTACCAGGGAATAAAATCAGTATCACTTTTCCATTCTCAATAAATGTTTAACTCAGTGAATTAAATAGTTCTTTCAATATTTAATTATTTTACGCGAGAGAGAAGAGCATCAACAGCAAAGACATATTCCCTCTGGAATAACCAAGGCGGTACTGGTGAAGACTTAGTGGGAATATTTGAGGAAACCATAAGAGAAACTTGGGACTCAGTTTTCCATGTTCCCAGACACTGTCCCAACTGCCAGACTTCCTGTAATAAAAAGAAGTTTTGAATGACTGCTCAGGTGCCAGCTCAAGGAGACGATTTGTTATTACAATTCTTGGGCAGAGACTGATGCTTCCCTGCAGCCTGGATTTAGGTACTTTTATCCTTCTGGGGTTAGGGCTTTATCTGTATCCCTCTCTTTATTACTTCCTATCCTAGATATTAAGGATACTTGCTTCTATGACTGCTATTGTTATGTGATTAAATTTACAGTTGTAGATTTTGCTGTAGTTCTTGCTAAACTTCTCTTGTGAAACCTTTGAACGTTGATGTGATGAAATACAAATGATTATGGGCTTTACCCCAAGAGAAAATCTGGTTGCATTTCACTTGCAATACAAAGTGAAATGTCCATCCTTAAATCTAAGTTAGACCTTTAAAATCATGTCCCACCTTGGAGCATCAGTTAGCTAATCTGACCCAAAATAAGTAGTCTTATAAACTTGGATAACACCATCCAATGTTCAAGGCCACCTGTTGTAAGTTGTTAACTTACCTGTCTAAAAACCATTTGTTCAGATGTTTTTTCTTTTCATAATGAGAAAAATTAAATAGCCAAAATTTTTAAATCCTAAATATTTAGCTAAATGCTTTGGTAAGGGCATATTGAAGGGCAGTGGCAGCTGCATTACAAGTATTTATGTGCTATTAGTTACCCAGTTTTATTTAGCTTCTAGATGAAAAAATAGAAGTTTGACTTTCTGTTCATTTAAAAATGTACACTTCTACCCCCAAACTCCAGGTGACCCACCTCTACCATTTTCTTCTCTGATACCATCAGACTTTATGAGCGTAATAGCCAGTAAATTAGAATGGAATTGAATACCAAATTGTACTTGATAATATCTTTTATCACAGAACAGTATTTGACTTATGAGCTATAATGTATAATTTTAATGACTTTACCTTGTTTTGCATGACTTTACCTTGTTTAAGCTACAGCTTTTCATGAAATTTCTTTTCTGTGCGGCTTTAATAAAAAAGTGGTGCCTTTGAGTAGTGTTTAGTATAACATATTTGTAGATATTGCCAACTCCCTTTGTATAATAGGCTCACCTTAAAAGCTTTCTAAATTCTAGAATAAAATTCAGGGAAGTTTAATCTTTTACTTGAAATAAATGTTATATAAAAATTGAAAATTATCAATACATACGTGGGAGCTTTCTTGAAAAAAATCTTCCAAAGTACTTGTAGCTGCAGGCGTTTTATTAAGATTCATCTTGTCTGAAGAAATAGGTTTCTGTGTGGAGCTCTGTATAGCCTGGCTTAATGGATCCAATGATGCTTTTCCCAGGCTTGTCTTTTCATTTTGAAATAGGCTGTCAGCCATGTCAGGTAGTTGCTAAGACTATCTGTACTTGGTTTTCTCGTTCTTTGCAATTTGGGCTCATGTCTATGAAGTCCTTTGTAAAACCGATGTAGAAATGAAATTTGTTGTTATTGAACCGTAATTAGCAAGTATGTGTACATATATATGCAAGTATAAATACACAAAATGCTATAATAAAAATCACTATAAAAAATATTTGAATCACACCCTTAAATGTTGGGAAATGCCACAATCACAAGTACTTGAGTCATGCTTGGCTTACCTAGTGCTTGTCCAAGTACACAGTTAGGTGTGTTTCGAAAAAAGAAGCCTTTCCATATAGGACCTCTTTTTCTTCTAATACAGATATATGTATTATGTAGTATATATATCTGTATTATACAGATATATGGAATATGTAGAGTGAGAGACCTGAAGAAGAGAAAAGGAGATATAAAGTGCAAGGAAGTTAAATATGAAATAGAGAAAAAAAATAACTCCTATATTTTCCAGAATTCTTATATGAGATTTTTAATCTGGGAGTGCTGAGGGTATAATTTCCTAAATCTTAAAAATGACACTAAATCACTGTGCCCCTCATCAGAGGAAATTTTTTAACATAAAAAATGCTCACACATTTACGTTTGAAGATCACTAACAGGGCTGACATAAGGTAACTAGTCCCTATACTGTTCTGTTCTCAATGCATATTAGTGTACAGAAAATGATATTATGTGTGGTTCCACAAACTTCTTTTGATTGTCAGTTCTATTCTGGTTCTGAAAGTCTGGGTACGTCAGTGGGTACAGCCTGCTCTGCTCATGGTCCTTCGTTCCACCCCCTCCAGCCTCTTCTTGCTAGGCCTCTTTCTTGATTTTTCTAGCTCAAACCATTGTATTTTAGAAAAGGTGGAAGTAACTAAGAACAGGGCTTAGTAATAAGTCTATATTATGGTGTCAATGCAGTAATATAGGCCACATAGTAAATATGGCAAGGAATTGTTTATTGGCTGACGGGTCTCTTGGACAGCTATAGAAGGGTCAGGAAAGAAAAGAAATCCTGGACCATTTATTTTTTTGAATAAAAACCCCTGTGTTTCTAACTGTAAGTTTAATCTTTATGGAAATTACAGATAACCGGAAAAATGTGTATTTGCACAAACCTCCTATCATTATAGGTGAATTTTCTGCTGTAACAACTATGGAGTATTTGCCTTTGAAAGTACCCTTTTATTTTTGTCTTTTCCGTATTAACAGTTTTGAATGAATATCTCAGAGTACTCTCAATTCCTTACTCCAGAATTAAATGAAAAAATTAGAAGTTTTAAATATGTATCCATTTTATCAGCAGTTTTAGAACTTTGATTTTAAATATCTAAAAATGAAGACATAGAGGGTAAATGTGAAATACCCAGACATTGACTGCAACTTCAGAAGCATTTTGGCTCTGATGACCATTCATAAGGCACACAGCAAAATGGTGATATAGTTGAAATAATATGATAAAATATTGTTCTTGTTCCTGCTCCATGGTTAACATTGTCTCTGAACTGTTCAGTGGTGCATAAGAGACTAATGATTATTTGAATAACTTGAATCATTTGTAACAAGATAATTCTGTTTCTCGCAGCAGATTAAAATATGTCTTTTTTATGGAATGAATGTAAAGGCAAATTTTCGTATGTTACAAACATGAAATCTCTGTAATGTAGGCAAGGTGGTTACTAGGTACAAAGTTTTCATTTTGTTATAGCAAGATAGCAATAAATACTCATTAGCTCCTAATCCAGGATCTCAACGATTATGTTTTGCCATGCATATACTTTTAACCACAAATTGTAATACATTCCTCAAATACAGACATTTCTATAATTCACGTTATACTGTAGGCATAAACCAGCTATTAATAACTATTTTGTGCAGTAGTTCGTAGGTTTCCACATGAGTTCTGGGAACAGTTTTATTAGCTTGTATTTTCTCCATTATTTTTTTTGAAATCTAAACCATGGGTGTTGGTGGGGAGTATTTATATCCCTTTTAAAGGGGCCTGATATGAATCTGTTCTTTTTTTTTTATTTTATTTTATTATTTTATTTTTAAATCTGAGTTGTATTGTAGCTGCCATCCTTCTGGCCAAAGAAGCCTGGATGGGTACTGCCTTCTTAGCACATCCATACAACACTTTAATTAGCTGGAAGGTTGCTTACTCCCCTATCTTCTGGGATTAAAATGGCTTTCAGTGGAAGAGCTTTAATAATGTTCCTCATTTTATGTTGGTTTATTTGGAGTTTTTGTAATTAGGGCTAAGATGTTAAAAACCGTGGGTAGGAAATAAAATATTCTAAGGAAAATCTTTTTAATTGCTGTTTTTCAGTTTGACAATGATAGAATATGTTCTGTAATGTTATGTAACATCATCTTCTGGCACAAACATTAAAAGGAAAGAGGAAAAATATGGTTTTTAGTCAGGGGTACTTATTTTCTGTACCTTTAATGGTATTCACCATGCATATTGTGCTTCAGAAACTCAATGTGTTCCACTAGATGACTGATTGTACTTGCTCTTTGACTTTCTATTCTGAATGTGTACTGGAGATGTAGGCTTCTAAGGCAGTGGGTTTTGCTGGAAGTGGACAGGTATGGAGCACCCAAATAAAAGATTGATTTTGCTCAGTTCCATCACGGGTGATTCTGTGCAATAAACTTTTAAAAGATGTACATTTGAAATGCACGTATATAATGCAACCATTCCTTTTAGTAATCGTTCAGGTTTGCATGATAAATCATTGCCTCGGTGCTGTATGTACAGTACCTGACAGGTTAATTATGTATGGAATGTATACTGTTTGCTTCAATCATGAATTGATACTGCATTTAAATGTTTGCACTGAAAAAACCTGTTATCTCATGTGAGATATGGTATAGCTTTTCAGATGTGAGACAAAAGGTCTATTGTTACAGTCTCAGTGCTACATGTTGTTTATTATATGAAGAATATTTTGAGAGTGTCTTTCTGTCCTGTAGAGCTGCCTTTACACTAAGAAAAAAAAAAAGACCTACATACATGGTCACCAGTATTAGTCATTTTTCCAGGGGAGGGAAGAAGGAGGGGAGATGCAGAAATCCTCCTCCTCTTAGACAGTAGTAACAGTGTGAGGATGCCTTGTCCTCATTTTTTTTACTTCTGAGATTTTATTGCTGGCAGCCAGATGTGCTGAAACTCCTGACGACAGCATCTATTCACTGCGTGTTTTTAATAGGCTTAGAGAAATATGAGTAGAGTACATGAAAGCAGCTCAGCTTCACACTTCAGCTGGGAATGCCCAAAAAGCTTACTGCTGTTTAGAATTCTTGCTACAGTCAGGAGAAAGCAGCACGGGAACTAAATCTTCTACGACTGAATTAGAAGAATAATGACTGTACAATTAACTATCAGCCCCTGCTCATTTAAGCACAGTTTTTACAGAGACCAGGAGAAATATGGAACTTGATTGGCATGTTTGCATTTGATGGTGTGTGCAAAATAGATGACTTTTAACACAGGTGGTGAAGAAAAATAGAAGGGAAGGAAAGAGAGAAAATGCAATTTGAGACACTGCGCCAGGTCTGCAATTCTGTTTTATCTCATTTTCATGGGGTTTTCTCATCCCCTCCAAATATTTTACAAAATGATCTTTTTGGACAAACGTTGAACAACACTAGGTGAGTAGAAAAGAAACATTTTGCCTTACCTTTTCTATGCTGATAGTAATCTATTTGCATGTTTTTCAGTGGGGTACTTTTATAATTGCACTCTTAGATATCGGTATTTTTATGGTAGCAGTCAGTCTCTTCTGTTGGTGCTTTTATGTTTTATGTAAGGGTTACATGAGAACTCAATCTGCAGAAATAAAGGCAGCAAAGATTGAATAAAATATTTAAGATGGTTATGTATCTTTCAAATACATTAGCTACCATTAGAAGCTAGCATTATTAGCTGTAATCCTTAAAGCATATTAAATATTCATAAGCAAATTTGTCTGAGAAAATGATTTCTCTGTGGATGTGGCAGTGAAAGGATTAAATGCTCAAAAATGTGTCTGTTTAACCATACATAATTTGTTGGGAGCTGTAAATTAGTACTCTTGCATACCTTTTGCAAAATAGGCAGGAAGCAGTTTCTCATTTTCAGAAGACTTAGATTTTGTGTGTGACGCTTTTTAATAATCTTTATAACTGGCCAAATTATAGCTGATCAGTGTGGATGCTTTGCAGCAGGTCAGTCAGCTCTGTAGGCTGTCCTTTTATGAATAGCTATTGTTTTGTGGGAATTAGAGATGATAGGAAGAAGTTGTTTATTGATATGAGTTGGTTATTAAATTGATTTCTTAGAATATTTTTGAGAGGCTAAACTGGATTAATAATGACTCCCTTTTGTGGCATTATTCAGTAAACATACTATAATAATGATGTTTAGAACTTTTTCATACTGCTACTAAATATTAACAGTAAAAATTATTAAGAATTTTATCTAAAAGAGTGTGAGTGCAGATCAGGAAGAAAATGAATCCTGTAGTTTTTTATAAAGATAGTGCGCTGATGGAAACATTCTGGAAAAAGGGTGGAAGTTGTATTGCAGAGACTATATCTAGCACTTTAATCTTCTCTGTATCCGAGAGAGAAATCCCTTGAAAACTGGATATTATTTCTTAATTACAGTGATATTTGCACTTAATACTTAGAAAACTGTTACCATTTTATTTCCCAGAATGTTGTTGCAAGGATTCCCTCCCTTACTGCTGGTGTTTCCTTTATAAATATTTGAATATTTATTTAATGTTACTGTTTTCAAGTTTTGATATCTTGGTTATGAATTTCTAGTTAGACATGCAAAGTTACAGACCTATCTTTGGTAATCATAATCACTTTAATGAATTAAGAGTTTTTAGACACATAAGAATCTTTAGTCCATGAGATTTTTTTCTCACATCCTTTTGGAGTATTGTGCAGTCTTTGAAGCTCTACAAAATGGAGCAATAATTTATGTATTACCAACTGTGATTGTAAGAGTGCCTGTTTCCAAGTGCATAGTTTCAGGCCTGCAGCAACCAACAAAGCCCTTAGCAACTGTTCTAATCAGCTACAAACCAAATCCTGATTCTCTGGATCTGTTTTTACAGATCAAAGTGCATGCTTTTTGAGATCAAGGTGCATGCTTTTTTGGTAGGGTTTTTTACGCATACATGTGCATGGTGCTTTTAGTTGTGTATTTTGCTTGCAAGTTTCTTGCAAAAGCCAGAGACTTACGTGTATGGTGTCAGTTTCACATCACAAGGCATCAGAGAATTATTTTATTGCATTTGCTGTGCCTGAGGTTTAGAATTATATTTATACTAGAAGGCTGGCAAACAAGAAAGCACTGTTAGGAAACATAGCCTCCTACCTAGTATGGGCTGCCTTACTTAGGATGAGAGTATTTCTCTATTTATAAGGAGTAATGTGTTTTTCTAGGTACCAATTTTGGCCTCTATAAAACATAGGGCAGTTTTTTAACAATATGCAGCAGTAATCATGACAGACTAAGTCGTGTTTTCTGTGTCTTCAGAAGTTGAAGTTAGTTGAAAGTTATTTAAGGTTATGAGTCAGAAGATTCCATCTTCTGAATAAGTACCAGTATTTTAAATTTGATCTTGATGAAAGGGCTTCAAAGAAGTCATCTATTGAATAGTCACTAAAAAATCTTGCTGACATTTATTTCAGAGGCTAGTCCTTTTTGTTGTCTTACTGATTTAAAAAAATCCATTTTATTTTTTTGCAATCAAATCAATCTAGTATCTATTTTAGGTAGATTTTTCACTTAAAGTTTTGCACAATTAATGTAATGCTCTAACTAAAAACTAATAGTTCATGCATCAAGAGTTAATGTTTCAGAACTGTGATAAGGAAAACAAAAATACCTCTAGCATGTAAAAGATTCTGCTTTCATGAGGTATAACGTATTAACTTCAGACTTTGAAGTTAAATATTTTTCAGGCTAAAAAGAGATAATCCTTTTTCTTTTTAAGGTTTTCTTTCTGTTTTTACATCTAAAAAGTAAAAGTCAGATTCTGGAAAGATAAGGGCTAACATTAAGCACAGAATGATTAACTGCTGCTTACACAAAGTAGTAATATGAAGAGAACAGGTTAATGCGTACTAATAGTATAGCCGAAAATGCAATATAAAACAGAAGGTCATAGGGAAGTAGGTAGTATGCATATAACCGTACCTGAAAATAAATTCGTATTAATTTTTACATTGTGTGTTCTTTGAATTCTTCAGTTTTTCCAGAAGTTTAGATATTCTGTGATTTTGTTGCAGGAAAGCCAGTTACGTCAGCTTTCGTTTTCTTATATTATACCAGACATTAACAGGAGAATATATTAAACTGCTTTTTATAATTTCCCATAGAAACCTTACGTGAGTTGGGTTTTTATTTGCATATATTTTGTGTTGCAGTAGCTGATGTGAGAGCACACAAATGATATGAAACTCCTCATGAGTTATATTGATTTTCCCATTTAAATGGGTTTAATTATCCTCTGCTAACAGCTTTTGTTGAAGGAATATTGCAGTTTAGTTCTCTTTTGCCAGCTACATGGCAATGCTTTGCTGTAAGATGATGCTGAGAGTGTAAACAGATAGCTGCTTTCTGGGCCTTCCTCCGGGTCCTGCACATCTCTGTCTGACATTATCCACTCCAGCTAGCTGAAGCAGTAAGAGCTATTACTTTACCTCAACACCGTGTGTCACCTATGTTGGGGACTGTAATGTTATTTCCTGTGTAATAGGTTATTTTCTATTGAAAAAGGATTAGAATTACCTCATGTCAGGAGGTCACAAGAACCGTTTTTCATTCTTTAGCATTTGGCACATAGCTAGTTTGTGGAATAAATTCTTCATGTTTCTGGGAAAAGAAAGTGTGGAAAAGAAATCATGAGCCCTTTTCTGAAAAAGTACTGGGGCTTACATTACATTCAAATTCTAAAGCAGCATCTAAAAGAGTTTCAGTTTTTTTTGCAGACTAAATTTTTTCTTATGACTTTCAGTGGTAACACTTTTCATTTAAATGACTAAAGATGATGAAATAAATAAAGTTTTATATGTCTTTAAAACAGTTAGTTACCAGATGAGCTGGATTTTCTGATTGCCATTCTTCATTTAGAGTTTAGTGTGCAAACACTGTGCTGTCAGATGCTCTATTTGTAGCAGCATGCTTTGCGAAGTCACAATTGCTTTGGGCAATATTCAGATTAACACATCACTGCATAATGGTGAGTATCCGTTGTGACTAAAATTGATACAAACTGTACAGAGCAGTATCAGTCCAATTTTACCATTGCAGAATATATTAGCAGCTTTCCTCTGAGAATGGAAAGCAGTGGATTTACCTAAATCTGGTTTGTCCCATGACACATTGGTACTTTGTTACAGCTTTGTGAAAGTGAATTTGTTGTCTAGGTTGGCCACACAGGGGCACAAGATAACTAATGTTTCTGGCCCCAAAACAGTACGAAGGTTGTTAACAAATTCTTTGCACAGGAGAGATTTTCAAAACATGGAATGGTCCATATTTTGAAATTAGATGCACTTAGATTAAAAAAGTAAACTGTATTTTATTAAACACCAATATTTTTAAAGATTCCTTAAGAGTTTTCACTTTTTCAATCACTTTTTTTGGTAAGCATCTTTTGCATAAATGCATTGATTTTCAAAAGGTTACTGAAATACCTAATAAATTAGCCTGCTCATGAAACCAGATATTTACACAGAAAATAAAATTTAAGCAGAAAAATATTATTTACTTTCATTATTTCATTTTCTGTTTTGTTTCTTAAATATACCTATGAGCTATTTACTGATGATCTGTTTTATAATGAAGTCATCACATGATGTCAGTAATTACTGTCACAGACAATTGTTGTTTGTCATGATGCAAGTAATCATTACTTTGACATTGAAGGAAAAAGATCATTTTCTGTTCCTTGTTGGGAAACAATTCTGTCAAGATATTTCTGTAGAATAGATTTGAGGGGTTTTTCTGACTCTTAACAGTTCAACAAAGAGCGAGGTTTGATATAATTCTGAGAGAATGTTGCATTTTCAAATATTAGTCTAAGAGCCAAGGATAAAACACATTGATGGCATTAGAACTAAGAATATATCATCTGTGTTCTGACATACAATAGTGAATAATAACTGAAACTGACTCTCCTCACTTTCAACATCTAGCTTGTCTGTAACTACCTTTAAAAATTTAGTTGGGATTTTCATATCTCCTCCCTTTTTACCTGCATGCTAAATTCACACAATCCTGTTTTAAATAATTCCCTGAAATTTGCAGCTGATGTCCTTTCTCAGTTGAAAAACCCACACAATGTTGAAAAAAAATCCAGAATATTTGTTTGTATTCCTACCATGTATTTTTTCCGTAATGAGTTTAAAGGCATAGCAAACCTATTTCCTGCCCTGGTTCTTAACTGTTTGTGCCTTGCATCTGACACAATCAAAATTCAAAAACTAAGCTAACATGAGATGTCTGTTACTTCAGAGAGGTTTTCCATCTCAAATGATCCTCTGGCTTTTTTTCTTCCTAAAATTAGAGGCATAAACCACTTCTGTAAACATAAGGGGAAAACTGGCTGGGACAGCAAGTTGTATATACAAGGCAGAGAGAGACTTGC